TGAGACAGAAAGAAAATATAGCATAGTTTTAGAGAGGAACAACAACAACAACAACAACAACAAAAAGATATCAACAGGACGGATCTTGAAACCTTAGATCGCAATAAGTCAGCGTTTGATATAAAAGAAACTCTAAAAGTAGATTTTCTTCTGAAAGGATCTTTTGAAAAACACAAAATCTATGCTAATATTATTATATGCACAGATGGAATAAGCAATAACAATACCAATCAATGCAACAACTCAATTGAGCTTAAGTTTAATAGTATTTGAAAACAACTCGTTTCAGTATGATCCACAATTGGAGAATCTATATGCAAATAACCGTAAAAAGGAGTGCTTATAAAACCAATATTACCCAATAGTACATTCAACCCAAAAAACAAAAAAAGGGGTAACTTCAGTAGTAGAGTCACAAAAAAAAACGAGTTATAATTTATACTTGCACTATATAATATATGGGGCAAGATACAGTTTGCAATTGCACTTCGGGGGGCACCCTACCCGGCAATTATAAACCCATTTCTGTGACTCCCGTGTAGTTTCCCCTGAAAAGAAAAAAAGAGTCAGATCAGCTGATAGTACCATGGCACTCCATCACAGGAAGGGGATGCAAAAGCAGAAAGGAAGAGGAGCCTCCTGTGTGTGGGTTGAGTGTGGTGTGTGGGGGGGGGCTGCTGGCTGTAGACACTACGGTTACTCTACTGTGGGGGTCGGGGAAGATGAAAAGGGGGTCACAGTTGCAGGCAAATGCACCGTTCTTGTGTTAGCCGGGGCCCCACGGGCGGCCGCAACCCGGCACCCGGAATGCTAGGGCAAAGGGACAAACATGCCGTTACCTCTCTGCTCTCTCCACCACGGAGAGAGGTAACCTCCCTTCACCGAAGAGAGGTAGAAAGCTATGCTTGTGGGCGGGGCTCCCCTGTATGGCCTAATTAGGAGTAGTGGTAGGTAGGTCGTGAAAGGAAAGGGCTAAGTTCCATGATCTGGCAGAAAGCCAGTTTAAAAGAATGTTCTTTGCTTGCTTGCTTGCTTGGTTCTACACTAACAGGCCTGATAGTATACTGCAGCAAAAAGGGGTTCCTGATACTTGTCTGTGTCTACTAACTCAATCCTGACTCATCCAACTCTAAGAGAGTAGTAGGGTAGCTCCCATGTGGCCATATACATGACTGTCCCCCCATGAGGAGAAGGCAGCTTCAAAAAAACAGGGGCAAAAAAAAGGTCAAGAGAGACAAAAACAAAAAAAGTTACCTGGCTATACCTGAAGAAATTATTGAATTATTCACACTGGAAAAAGCTGTTACAAAACTTAATGAAAAAAAAAAAAACTTCAAAAAAGTTCAGAAAACTTTAAACCACCGCACGTTTCCCGCGCCAGCCATTTTTTTAAACTCGCGGTGCGCATGCATGCCGCAAGCTTCAGGGCTCGGCATCGGAACAAAATGGCTGGCGGCGCCAGCCGAAACGAGGCCCGCACCAGTCCTTTTTTTCGGGCACCCAGACCAGCTCCAGCCTTGGAGAAAAGCACCTCGGAAGTATATTATTGGTAGTCTTTTTTTTTTTTTTTTTGGAAAACCAGTGTCCTTGCTAGGAGAGGTTGTAATAGCACACCCCCGTAGCAAGAGACCTGGGTGCTTCGGTCCATTGGTGGGGAGCAACACCTGCTGCAAAGCGGGTCCGGCGTCCCTTTGCACATCCAAAGTCCTGCCAGCATTGATTGCCCTGTACCCAGGGGATTAACTATGCAGGTTTGATGATAAGTACGTTTGACAAACAAAGGGTCGCCTCTTCAGTCTGCACCAGACCGCCAGATCACTCATATTAACCTTAGCTAGCAGCTACTTCTGTTACATCTGAATACCAGTCTGCTCTGTATCCGCCCTGTATCACCCGTTCGGTCTGCATATCCACCATTGCCAGCTGGTGGGGCGGGAAGGGGTCGGGAAATTCTGTGGGTTGGTAGTCTAGAAAGCTACATAGCACAAAATGGCATATGCTGCAAGGGTTCCAGTTGTCGGACCCAAGCTGAAGCCAAGAGGGTGGTGACACAGCTATGTCCTCGTTCACAGAGACTGAGATGCTGTTGCTATCTATTGCTTTTTCAGCGCGGGCTCATCACGGAAGGGGAGAGAGTTAACGGAGGCCTGAATTTTCAGCGATGTGTCATGCCATTTATAAGAAAACCAAAATGACTTCTTAAACCCCACCAGTCTAGGTTACAAAGCCCCCTGGGTGGGGTCTTCAGCGCCGGCTCATCACGGAAGAGGGGATAATATTGCGCCCACTGAGATGTGCCCAAATCCAGCCGTACCAAATTCGTATCATCGGGTGTCTATGGGGCATAAGTGGGGTGCGAAGGGGCTTGAAGGGGCTTAAGCGGGCGTAAAGGTGTGTGATATAATTTAATGTTTGGCTTTTAATTTTCTTCTCTTTTTTTTTTTCTTTTTTTTTTTTCGACGGAGCGAGGGGCCGTAAAATATTGTTATAAGCTGCTCAGTGTGCTCAGCCCAGGGTATTCTTTAGTAAGGGCAGGCTCACACTGGGTACCAAAACCGTAAAACTCCCAAAAAAATGTGCACACCGCTGGTCACACACAATGGATCCCACCCCAAACACCCCATTCGCAAACCCATTTGTCAGCGGCCTGCCTGGCTGGCCGCGGGCTAATTTGCGGTAACCTCCAGAGGTTAGTGCAAAATCCTTATTCTTTTTTTATTTAATTTTCGTAAATGAATGCAAAGTTGAAAAGGGAACATGTAGGTTCTATATTTGGGGTTACTTCTGTGTGACTGGAAACCCCAAACAGAAGCACCCTGATGGCACGGTAGCGACCGTGTCTTTAGCGAAATGGGAACACGGTGTGAACGCAGTGTGACCTGAAACGTCCCAAATACCCCAATTCGGCCCAACCCATTTTCGCAATTTATACGGATTTGCTACCGCAGTGTGAGCGTGCCCTAAAAGGCGAAAGAATAGTACGCCAAGTGAGCTGGGCACGCAGCTGAAGGGCTTTTATTTTTCATTTCAAATTCCATAACGAATTTCTGGGTGACCCTAGGCCAAAAGTTCATTGATTTTTTTAATTTTGAGGAAAAACTAAACAAAACAAGTGTTGTTTGATTTGCCATTCTGTTCTTCGGGACATCCGTTAAAATTGGAACGATACAGAGAAGATTAGCATGGGACATCCGTTAAAATTGGAACGATACAGAGAAGATTAGCATGGCCCCTGCGCAAGGATGACACGCATAAATCGAGAAATGGTCCAAATTTGCCATTCTGCATAACATAGTTTTTTTCCTTTTTATTTTTATTTCTTTTTTTTTGTCGTGACGTGGCTATCCGGGACCTTGACCGGGACTATGCCTGAGGCAATCCAGGCGGTCCCAGACGAGGGAGAGTGTTGGCCTTAGACACTACTGCTATTCGATTGGGGGTGGGAGACGATGAAAAGGGAGGCGCAGCTACTGGCACAATGCTCGGTCTTTGCATTCGCCGTACCCCTACTGGCGGCCCCACCGCCATCTCTGACTACCGCTGTTGGGGGGGGGGGGGGGGGGGGGGGGGGGGGGGGGGGGGGGGGGGGGGGGGGACAAACATGCAGTAATCCCTTCGCACTGTGAGGTAGAGCTACGCTTGCAGGGGTCCGTTCAACTTATAGCAGTAGTGGAAGGTAGGTAGTATAAGGCAAAGAAAGGATTTGAGAGAAGAATGTAGTGTAGTTTTTTTTTATAATAGAGTACGTTGACAAAATGGCCTGAGCCTACGTGGCTCAGTTGGTACACCCACAAACTGTTGAAATGTAGACCCAAGTACGAATCCCAATACAAAATCAGATGACCAGAATGAACTCATTTCTGGATTACCTGGGAGCGGCTAGCTCGATGATGATATCTCAAGGCCATCTCAACCTTTCGGGGGGGAGGGGAGGGAGAAGTGGCCTGCCACTTTCTGTACCGTCCCAGGGCCGATTTAACGCAGAGCACAAGTTTTAGAAGCCGAAAAACACACACAAAAAAAAAGCCAGAAAACATAGAATCCTAATCTCTAAAAAAAAATAAAAAAAATAAAAAAATCCTAACCTCCTACCCGTTCTAATCGATCGTACTGTACTGTCAAACAACACGAGATTTAAAATTAAAATAAAAAAGCAAAGAAAGAAAGATGATAAAAAAAGATGATACAGTGAACACACATTGAACAATATACAAAGTCCCTCCCTTCCTACAGGCTCTACCAAATACCGGTACCCTTTGTTCCCTCCGACAGATTCCCACTCTTTTCCCTGCCTGAGTTCTCTCCTTCAACCTCTTGTCCGCCTCTCCTCTCCTCTCTCTCTCTGTCTCTCTCCATGCATACGTGAACAGGAAAGGGGAACAACTACAAACAAACAAAACTCTCTAGTCAGAGCATACTCACACTAGGCCCTCAAACTCGCAAAATCACAAAATGAACGGCCAGATCGAGTCCTTGTGAAGGAAGGACTAGATCTGGCCGCTCAGTGTGCCCTTACTCTTCACCGACGGAAAGTCGCACATTCTTGGCGTGGAGCAGGAAAAAGTTTCAATCCGTCTTTGTTTCCAGGTCAGTCCCCCCACTGCAAAGGCCTGCATCTGACTGCAACTGCCTTCCAGATCCATCCATTGTCATGAACCGATTGCATGTATCAGGACCTTAACCGCTAACTGACCTTTCGGTCATATTGGGAACAAAGTCCTGGAGCCTTGCTAGGAGACAAACCCAGCACCAACTGCAAAGGCCTGCATCTGACTGCAATTGCCTTCCAGATCCATCCATCGTCATGAACCGATTGCATGTATCAGGACCTTAACCGCTAACTGACCTTTCGGTCATATTGGGAACAACAAAGTCCTGGAGCCTTGCTAGGAGACAAACCCAGCACCAACTAGACACCCCTGAACTGTTGAAATACAGACCCGAGTTCGAACTCCACTGGAAGCAGATACGCTAACATAGTCCAGTCCTGGGCCCATGTCCGGCTTCTCGAGGTTTTGTTCCGGTTTCGAGTGTACATGGCTCCTTGCCATCCGATCTGAAAATCTCACGGCCCTACTAGTAGTGTGACCACGTTGGAAAATACACGAAATACATAGCAAACATACCCAGCACCAACTGGCCGGTAGCTCAGTTGGTAGATCGCTGACCTGTTGAAATACAGACGTGAGGTCGAACTCCACTGAAAGCAGATACGTAACGTAAAATACTGCAATTCCATCCAAATTACTTAGGGCCGCTCATATCTCAACGCGATTGACCAAAACACAAACATACATAAAGCAAAGCCAGCCTGTATGTCCGCTCCGCTATAAACAGGGGGGCCTACCTATTCCAATTGTGCGTCTCAAAAACTATCTGATGGGAGAGAGATTGACCAAAAAAACAAAAATAAAAGCAAAGCCAGCCTGTATGTTCGGTTAACAGGGGGGCCCACCTACTCCAATTGCGCTATCTGATGGGAGAGCGATTGACCAATGAGGAGAGATTGGGTGAGCCGTGACAAGAAGAAGGGAGGACTAAGCGAAAACGGAAAGCCAAGCCATCCACCAAGCAAGCTCTGGAGTGGGGCAATGCTTGCTTGGGCTGAGCCTTCCTTCGACTTGTGCAAAGGTCGACCGTCTCTACTTCTGAGCAGCAGCAGCAGCAAGTATGCTCTTCGCACCATCTACATGATGGTCCGTACTCGTGATGGTCCATGGGCCATCTAACTGGTGGTCCATGCCCATCCGCCAGACCAGATGGTCCAACGACGATAGGTGATGGTCCATGTCACAGAGAGATACCCGACGCTCGGCATCGGTTCCACAACGGAGCCAAAACTGCTGATTGAACTGATCTCAACTCAGCCGTGAGTACAAGATTGACTACGTTTTCTCCCCTTTAGTCATCATCGTTCTCACACGTACTCTCGAAATGCAAACCTTGAAAAGCCATAAAAACATCTCGCAGGCACACATCCCCCAGTCCCTGCGGGTCGTGGTCCCTCGTAACGAGCCTGCTGTTCGTTTGCGCTATACACGTCTGCTGCTGCCGATGTTCTGCTATGCAAATGGAACGTGGAACGTGGAGAGAGGAGAGAGGAGAGAGGAAGACGGCTGATGATCATCATCGTAAGCAATGCCACATGCAGCAGACCATTCTCTGCTCCTCGTGAACAAGCCATAGCCATCCGCTCGAGAGCGTCCTGGCGCTTTTCGAGCCCGCCGCCGCCAGCAAAATCATGATGGCGATGATGATTATCACCCTTTGGACCGCAGCCAGTTCCAGTTGAGCGGCTATCAACAAACACAAGCCACGGGGCCTCGCCGCACCACTCACCGGTTGTGCAAAATGAGAGATTCTGAAGAACCTTTCTCTAGTACCTGGACAGATGCACCGCCGTTACTTTTGTCTTTTCTGCATTTGCTGAGTAGTGGAGAGAGGCCCACAGTCTTGCAACAACAACAGGTCACATTCTTCTTCCGAACACAAATTCGCAAAGCATGATGACTCACGCGCAGCATCGTCATCACTTCTCAGCAGCATTCCCTGGAGTTCCACATCTCGCTCCAGTGAGGCCAAATCGGCACGCGCATCCTCCGAGACGGCAATCCCGAGCGCTTCGGCGTTGGCAATAGCAGTCTTCATGCGCTCTACAAGCACTCGCTGGTCCTTGTCAATGTGCTCATTGAAGCTCTCCAAGGCCTTCCAAATTTTGACTTGCTCTGCCATTCTCTCCGCTTCGGATCTCTCGTATTCAATCACAGATATCCACGACGGATGCGAAACGTCAAACTCTGTACGACTCCTACCAGTTTCCACCGCACAGTAGTTTCGCTCTCGAAGCATTCCAATTTCTTTCTTTGCATCTTCGAGTTCAGCTTTCAACTGATCAATCTCTTGCCTTGCACATCGTAGCCGCTCTCTCTCCTTGTTCAGCGCCGTCACCGCCTCTTCTCGCATACATTCCAAAAGGTTTGTCAAGCTATGAAGCTGTCGAACCTCTTCCTGCAACTGCTTCGCATCCCTCCCTGATGAGCTTTCTTGCCTCTTCTCACTGTGCTCAACGCCACCTCCTCGCTCTTCGTTGGCACTACCACCTCCTCCTCCTCGCTCTTCGGTGGCACTACTATCAGAGTTCAAGCTCCGACGCCCCTCCTTCTCAAAGCTTGGGAGCCCGGGGAGAATAGAGACCTCATGAAGGGCCTGCGTAGTACCAGGTACCGCTGGCCCTGTACTTCGAGTGCCGGGTCCAGGTGGAACAATTCTTGTCCCTTTACATCTCCCGCTCTTCCCCGCCGTCGAGATCCCATTCGTGGACACCCTAATTGCTGCTCCTGCCACCGTCCCGAACCCGCTACCGCCAGCTACCCTCCCATGCTCCGGCCCGAACGAACGCAATGATTTACTATCAGTAGATTCCACTGATTTCGTACTACCTCCCTCCCTTCCCTCTTTACCCTTACTCCGGTTCTTCGATCTAACGGAATCCTTGCGCCGTGCAGTAAGAATGTGCGCTTCACCGACTTCATCTGCTGGGGTGACGGATGATGAGGGAACATTCATGTCGATAACGTCCAGTGGCGTCGATCGCTCCATAGCCATGTGGCAATCTCTGCTCAAATCCTTGCGTGACGGGCTCATCGTGGACATTTCACCGCCGCAATGAACCGTTACGCTCTTCCTTACGCTACCGTTGCCGCGTGCATACCTCCCTCCCCCGTCCATCTCTCTCTCTCTCTCTCTCTCTCTCTCTCTCTCTCTCTCTCTCTCTCTCTCTCTCTCTCTCTCT